CGGTTAGCAAGAGTTTGGTTTTCTTAAACACTGTATTCTAGCATATATAATTTCCATGGTCATTTTTATACAAATGGCTTGCATCAGGGCACTTCATTTACATCAGAAGATACTATATATATTCTGCTCGTGTGTTTTTCAATCCTAATATCCATTTCTTTGTTATGAGATTGGTGCCAACAAATAAGAAAAAAAAGGAGGAACCATTAATTAAGTTCATAGACTGTGTAAGCTGCTATTTCACATAGGCACCTCTCTGTGCGCTAAGTCGGGTGGCCTTGCTGAGCATATCGAGTAATCATCTCTATGGTTGGCAAAGAATTTTGAGGCCACTGCTTTCTCTCGCTCTGTTGAAATACGCGTAGATGATGCGATGAACTGCAGAAGAATTCTCAGTTGGTTGGACAGCACAGAGTCCTGATGCCTCCCTGTCCCATTGTAGCATCGAGCTTTCTACATTCATTTGCAATAGCATTCACAAACTATCCCCACACCTCTAGTGTTATATATAGGAGTAGAAGAGATGAGACACCTTATTTACTTAGCTCGATTAATAATCCATGCATTAATTTCCCCAGGAAAGATGGACTTATTATTATTGGACTTATTTATTATTGGACTTATACATGGCTTTCAACAGTATTCATAACTATTTATTAGTTTCCGACCATTGCTTCCAACTATGCATGTTTGGTAGGTGATGAAAGGGAACATATTTCGTGCACACAAACTTCCGGTACATATTTCGTGCATACCAACTAATAATTTTTACTAAAAATTCTTTAAGAAAGATTGTGCAACTTCTAATAGTTTTACACTTATGTACAACTCTCAGAATTTTAACAGATATATATACTCTTAAAACTGTCATAATTTTTCTTTTTTTAATGGCTAAACTATAATGGATATGAAGCTGATACTTTAGAAAGATTTGCAATACTATTGAAAGTACATGTAATTTTTTTAAAAAAATTTTAGCAAAAATTATTAGTTGGTGTGCACAGAGTGTGCAGTAAGCTTATGCACAAGATATATTCCCCGTGAAGAAAATGAACTACTCATAGCTAGCTAGGTGAGGTTCAAATAATTTTATCGGTACTTACGAATTAGAATATATATCAACAAAAATCAGAATTGGTAGATATGTTTAAGTTATAAAGTACACAAGACCAAATTGCTGAGCATGGTTCAAGATCCAACTATGATACATCCTTCAAATGTCAATCTGAATGAAATTCAGGATTGATGCATGAATGCAACACTTGTTCATTTTGACCGGTGTTCTATGATTGTAAATGACAACCTGCAAAATGTTTGCACTGGTGGATAGGATTGTATGACTCCCTCTCGGTGCCAGGCTCAACTAGAGGACAGAAATTGCAGATTTGAGATGGACTAGCAAGGGTGCCGCATTGACAGGGGAAGCACGGCGGTATGATCTACCCTGGGATGTTTGTGGACAACGGGGCCATTATTGATGCTTTTTTAGGTCAACACAAGATCACCTCTAACTATTTGAGGTGTAATCAACGGGGTCGTCAAAATCGATAGATCGAAACCGGCTAGCGGAACCGATTTCGAGATTAATTCACTTTCGCGGAATCACACGACTAATTTACAAGTAAATTAGCAAAGAAGATAAATATCGTACTTACGTGACAATGAACGACTAGTTTCCGAGCAAACTAGCAAAGGATATTCTTCTCGCTTTCGTGGAGAAGCACGATCAGTTTTCAGTGCAAAACGGTAAAGATTAACTAAATTCTATGGTTGTCAGAACTCAGCCATGAAAATAAAATAGAAAATAACAAGAAAGTAAAAAAAAAAGGAAATAGTAGATTGATAATTTGTTCGAGGGTGTTCTAATGTGCCCTCATCAGTAGTAGATTGATAATTTGTTTGAGGGTGTTCTAATGTGCCCTCATCAGTATATATACCGGTTATCGATCTACAGCAGACACTGCAACAAAAACCTCGTATAGAGGCACTTTTGTAAAGGCGTTTTGCAAATTGCTTCTAAAATTAGAAGTTTTATAGTGTAGAGACACTTTATAGAGGCACTTTAAAAATTGCCTAGAAAACTTTTACTCTAGAGACATTTTTAGATCAGTTTGTTAGATTTTATCTCGTAGAGGCATTCTTTTGACACTATAAAATACGTCTAATATGTAAAGGCATTTTGTTGATACATTTTAAACTATGTAGAGACACTTTTTAGAATGATAATGTGTACTAAATGACTAAATATAAGTAACTAAAGGAACAAACATACAAGTAATGACATGGAGTTGAGTTGGTTAGTGTATTCATGATCTCTTTCGTTAAATCATTTTAATCTTCAATACACTAACCAACTCAACTCCATGTCATTACTTGTATGTTTGTTCCTTTAGTTACTTATATTTAGTCATTTAGGAAAGAGATCATGAGTTCAAGACTTGTCAAAAGCAAAGAAACTATTTTATTTTCTTTTTTGGACTGGTTTTATATTTTTGCGGTACAATTTAATGTCTCTAGAAAATGCATCTACCATCTTATAGACATTTTATAAAATGTCTTTTCGTTTGTAGAGACAATTCACCATAAACACTTATTAGATATTTTTTAAAATGCCTCTACATTGTTGTAAAGGCATTTGATAAATGCCTCTACAGTACCAGAAAAATGTCTCTACAAAGTATTTTTCTTGTAGTGAGACCTAATCGGTCCCACACGATTTTATAGAAAGAAACAAACCGAAAGAAATCATGTCTAACTTCCTCGCCGCCGTACGCATCAACTAATTAGCCTCATGAGACGGAAACCAACGCCGAAGCTCCGGGTCTCATACAGCCAATCCTCATACACGGCTGTGCCCTGGCAATGCGAAATCATCCGGCACGTGTGGCTCCTGCTTTTGCTTTTTCAGATCAGCACCAGCATGCCTCTACTGCAACGATACACATTTCTCCTCATTAGGCCATTAACAGTGCGCCAAAAAAATATAGTGTTCCTCTTTGCCACCTAGACAAAAGAAACATCCAAGAACTAAGATAGCTACGTACTCTACAATGCATGCTACTACTTAGTACATACTAGTACTACTATAACATAGTGGGTCCCACCACTGTATCCCATCTCTGCATATTAGTACTACTCTCTGCTTCTTTCCCCTCACTGACGACGTGTCCCGCCACTGTTTCCCATCTCTGCATACTAGTACTCCTCCTCTTTGCTTCTTTCCACCTCACTGACGACGCGTCACTCCATTATGGACCCCACCTGCATAATTGATGAGGAACCGGGAGCTCAAGTTGGCTCCGAGCGCTTGAGCAGGCCACACAGTTTGTCTACGTGGCTAGGAATATTCTTTTTTTTTGCTACGAGGCTGAACGCCACGTCCTTGCACTGGAATGCCCTTACAAGCCATTCACTATCCGGCCGTCCTCGCTGTCTTCCATACAGGAGACCATGCAGAACCCAACAGCAGCTCAGGTCGATCGGCTACTCCCTCCGTCCTAAAATATAGCTATTTCTAGCATAGTGTCTTGTTCTAAAATGAAGCTATTTCTTCACCTACCTCCTCCTCTTAACCAATCACAACCATTCTTCTTCACCTACTTTCTCTTTTCAACCAATCACACACTTTCTCCAATCATTCTCATCTACTTTCTTAATATCCGTGTCAACCTCAAAAATGGCTTCATTTTGAGACGGAGGAAGTATCAAACAAACACGACAAGGCTTTGATTTCCATGATTTCCGAACTGACAGAGTCAGCTTCCCAGCCATTTGCACGCATACAACATCTTCTCCCTGTACACATTAATTTGCACACATTATCTCTATAATGCAGTGCAAATTCCTGTGCACATATTTTCCAAACCTCTCTTAAGCAAACCACTTAATAATTTCAGCAAGCTCTATTTTAAATAATTTGGCCTGTCCAGATATACTAACGAAAAGCCAAATTATAATACAAACACCCCGATGGATACTGAGCCCCCGTCACCGCCCCCGTGCAAATGAAAATCCCCCGCTCCCCGTCCCCGTCCCCGCCGTCGGAGGCAGCCTTCCTTCCTTCCCTGCCCCCACCGGGTTACCGGGGCTCCAACGGGGCATACACCCGAGAGGCCGAGAAGGAAGAAGCAAGGTGCTCATCAAATTTCAGGTTGGGGATAGAGAACAAAGATATTCATTCACAAAAATTCTAACCATGCACACTAGATGACGGATCTTTTCTTCTCTTTTGAAAGACGCATATACAGATATTCAAAATAAAGAAATTAACTAATTCATTCCCAAGAGCAGGAGCAAGCTGCAGAATCAAACAAATGAAAGAAATTGGAAGATGCAAAAGCATGTGGCTGCTGTGCAGCCCTCAACGCCGCGCTGAATCACGCAGATGTTGCAGAGAAATATCCACGAGATCAGTTGGAACAGAAGCGGACAGCAGTATCAACATATTCGTCGAAGAAGGATGGCGCCATTGTGGCTTCTCTTTCCTGCGAGACCCGCATCTCGCCATAGAAATTAAGCTACAGCGAGTGGGCTCAGTTGGATAATCCCCCAGGAGGCATGCGAACCAACAACCTCCCTGGCTACATGCGGCTAGGGCGCAGGTGCCTCTGAGACATCAGGAGTGTTATCTCCGTAGACAATGCGGGCACTGGTGGTGGTGTCCCCTTGGTAATTTGGCATTCTCCCTAACCAATGAATTGGCGAGCTAGCTGTAGGCATGCGTGTGCACGAACATCGGACTGCCGTAGAGTGGGTGTGTGTTTGTGTCCTCCGCATTGTCATTGGTGACAAAGTTGTCTTGTGTGCTTTTTAAGATCAAGAAATCAAGTGGGGGAGAGAGATGTCAATGTGGCATATGCCGATTCGTACTTGGGACAACTTCGGCAAGTCAAGAAATTGTGAGCTTCAACTTATATAGGGAAGAGAGTGTGCGAGGGTCGGAGGGTATATATATTAATAACCTCTCTAAATCCTGTGGGATTGCTAAAGAATTAGTGGGCCACACCAGCGATGTTTTTGCAAAAAAGATCTCCGAGTTTCCAGTTAATTATGCTCCGGTATCCGCTACCCCACCGTCCGATCTCGTGCTGCGGTTGATCTGGCCGTACACGTGTCCCGCCATGGTGGCCCTTTCACACCCGTGGGATCGTTGGATCGCGAACGCATGACAAAGATTTTGCTATAGGGCAGCCAGATGCCAGCCATGACATTTTGTCTACACAATATTTTAATATATGGACAAACGTTATTTGGTATTTGTTACTGAAAAAAAGGAAGTTTTATTTGTTTTTTTACAACAGCAGCTGCCTGGTTCTTGTAGTGGCTTACATCGAATATTTCGTTAAGAATTTATTCTATACCACTTAGTTTATTCGAGCTTAACAATTTGCCATCAACATTGTCGATTTCTATGATATATATACCGATGACTTTATCAATTGTTCTACAATACACCATTAGGCTAGGCCTTCTTTTTAAAAATACCCAAAATATCCTTATGGACAAACAAGGGACCGATCGAGAGAAGTAGCCCGAGCCGCTCCCAGTCATCGTTGCCTTCACCGAGAGACGAAGACCGAGCACCGACTGAGCACCACCGCCGCCCGATGGATTTAGAGCTCCCATACGTATCACCGCTGCCTCTCTCGTGTCGCCGAGCCACCGTCCTCGCAGCCGTCATCGTCCCCCTACTGCTGAGCCCCACCATCGAATCAAGCCACTGCCGAGCCGTGCTCCTCTCCCGATCCTCCACCATACTGTGCCTCCCCTTCCTCCACCGCATCGTCATCCCCTCCCCCTTCCTTTGTCTTTGCTGGCCACCAACCCCCCTCCCCTTGGGCCAGATCTAGGAGAGGGAGGGTACTAGGGGAGGGGAGTGGAGGAGCAGCTGAATTTCGATGCTGCGCTCTCGAGGACCACACCCCCGACCGGCAGCGTCATCGTCGTGGCGGTTGCCATCTTGTCGTCATCGCAGCTGGTCACGGTTGTCATCATAGGAGGCCACAGGCCGCTACCATCCCAAGGCCCGCCAGATGTGGGTGTGCGTGGTCGACGACACACGGTGGCTACAGCAGAAGGGAGTGGAGCGGAGGAGGATGTCTAGGCCAAGCGTGTGGATGAAGTGAGGAAAAGTGCGGACGAGGTGAGGGTTGTGAAGATATAAAGGGAGCTGTGTGTGGCTGGGAGGGCCGGTTTTTAATGATTTCTTTTTCTTTTTGCCAGGTGGTGCTCCTAACATACTATATGCGAAAATTGATTTTTGCAGGCAGCATGTTAAGAGGTCCGCTGCTGAAAATCAGCGTATTTTTGTATGTGGTTCTCTTCTAAGATTCGCTTGTAAAAAATAATACTATTGGGCTAGAATTTTGGGACCTCTCGATATTTTCGCAAGCAGAAAATTTTAGATTCGCCTTAAAAAATAAAACATAGGTGTTATAGAAGATTGTTTTTTTAGTAGTGCGAGCAGGTTGCCAGAAAGACCTGCATCTTGTAGGGTGCTCTGTATATTCTCTTCGGCTTGATTTATTTTGTTTTGGTTGTTCCGTTTGATTCATCCCCACCATTCGACAACTTCATTGTAAAATGTTTCCGCGGACAGGAGCGTCATCTCCTTTATCTTTTCCTCTAGTGTTGCTGCTAACTTGTGCCCAGGGAAAGATGAACTTTCCCATTTCAATGTGGAGGCTTTTGATTTCCCATTTCAATGTCTAAACTTTCGATTTATCTAAAAAGAGAAGGTGAGAAAACATGCAAAACGTCGGGGCAAATATGTAAGGATATGCATGCCCTTTTATCTCGGAGTTAACACCGGTAAAATGACTTACATGATGCAATTGTCCCTTTCGTTTCAGTTACAGAGCTTACAGGACGCGCAGGAAAGCTCTTGCCTCAGTGCTTAATAATTTTAAGATAGGACCATGCAAAGTCCAGAAAAAGAACAGACTAGAGGTTAGAAAAATAGAATCTTGAAGCTAGTGAACTACAACTAAATTAATTAAGATGTTGACGCTTGTGGTCACTCAGACTCTTGTATATGTTAGCATGCTATCCATATATATTTTCTCTCATGTTTCAGAACAAAGATGTCCCCCTAGCTGATAAGACGTAGTACAAGAATAAATTCAGTTTAAATGTAGGCCATCTGCACATCACAAGGCCCAGTTTTCTGACATCGGTTCAAGGAATTGAAGGCTCATGAATCAAAATTCTATCGAGGGGCCGTCATTAGCTAGTGTTTTGAACCGCTCTGTTACATAAAATGTTTTAGTCTTGTCTAACTTGTTGATTAGCTATGGTATGGGTATACTATATAGCATTGTTCACAGAAGTAAACGAATTTATGAACTTCCATGCTTGCCAATCTTATTGGCCACCAATGGTTCGGTTAATGTATTCCAGACCTATCAAAAATGCAAAATATGTCAGCATGTGGCCATACAAGCCATGAAAAAAAATACTCTTAATCACCCCTAAAAGTGGCATTGGGTGCTTACTTTCAAGTTGCCCTTCTGCCCTCCCACAGCCAACAAGAAGGGATTGTCTTTTGAAAATGATATTGAGAAAATAGCACCCTGAAATTGCAATGAAGTGTTGAAAGACCATTTTACTTCTGAAAAAGACACAGGTTGCTTTTATGAGAGATCTTACAACTTTCGGATTCAGCGAAGCAATGACAGACGGCTGGTTGCTTGATATATCCCAGAGCTTCACCTGTATAAAGATAGTGAGATATCAGCAACAGGCAGAGCAAGGAGCTAGCTGAAATAATGCAATGAAATTCAATATATTTCACCGTTTTATCGGCTGAAGCAGTTGCCAGAAACTGCAAGAAAATAGTCGAGCATCAGCATTCGGGTGTTAGGAAATAGGTTCCACGTTTAGGACACACGGGGCATACGTAGATGTAACATACATTGGGGACAGATGGACAAAATGAAATGGATAAAACGGCCATTTCATGGGCATGCAGAGTAAACATGGGCACCGTTCCATTTTGATGCGATGAAGTTATCCGCTTATCGAATGTCTGAACCATGCCATTTTCAAGACTAACTTGTAACACACAGTAATCTGTAAATCCAAATGTAAAAAGGAGAATAGTGAAATACATTGAACAACATCCACGCAGCATCCACAATACAGAGGTTCCAGATCAGAGTTCCACTATGGTATGTATGGATACGATATTTGCAATTTGCATATGTGACACGTGAGTCACTATTTCAGTAAACATATATAACTTGCATCTTACTACCTCCCTTTTATATATATATATATATATGACGCCGTTAACTTTTATCAAAACGTTTGTGGATTCTTCTTATTCAAAAATTTAGTGTAAATATGTAAAAATATAATCTAAGGATAAAGTTTCTTGGATGAGAAAACAAGTCACGACAAAATAAATAACATTTATAAGAAGTTATTGAATAAGACGAATAGTCAAATGTCAGGTGAAAAGTTAATGACGTCATATATAAAAAATAAGGGAGGAAGTATATAATTTGCATATGTGCCACGTGAGCCCACATATTCATTCAGATTAGATATTTACAACCTAGAAAGAACAGCATAGTAGGATAAAAATAGACAAAATCTTGAATTTTGCAACTCACTGCAAAAGAGTGTTCATTGTGTGGATTCTAAGCCACATCTTCCACATCAGCTTCAACACACCATCTAATAAAATTCTGTTCACAGTTTTTCACATCCTTCTGTAAATAGGAAATGCAAACGACATTAGTTTTACAATTCGATCAACTCAGAGCACATAAGGTGGTATTTGGATCTAGGGACTTAACTTTAGTCCCTGTCTTTAGATACTAATTTAGAGTATTAAATATAGACTACTTACAAAACTAATTATATAAATGAAAGCTAATTCGCGAGATAAATTTTTTAAGCCTAATTAATCCATAATTAGAGAATGTTTACTGTAGCATCACATAGGCTAATAATGGATTAATTAGGCTCAATAGATTCGTCTCGCGAATTAGTCCAAGATTATGGATGGGTTTTATTAATAGTCTACGTTTAATATTTATAATTAGTATCCAAATATTCGATGTGATAGGGATTTAAAAGTTTTAGTCCCATCTATACAAGGCCTAAAGACCAGGGTTCCATCACCACTGTGAGCCGTTCTTGTTGCCTGACATTGTTTATTGAATAATGCCGTGACAATTTCCCAATCGTTGATTAAAAACTGACAATAAAATCGTAACAGCTTTATCTTTCAAAAGTAGGATATATATGATTTCAGTTGTTGTTTATCATATGAAATTAACAAGAGGCAAACAAAAGAAGATGAGAATGAGTTTATAAAAAAATCCAGCATGATTGAACTCAACGTGAACAAGCACAAACACCTACTCTGGTATCATCAGCGAATAAAATTCAGAAGAGAATACAGCATAACAAATGGGCTTGATACATTACCATTGCAACTGATTTATCAAAAAAGAACCGCTAAGAATGACTTCAGGTGAGCGCTGGCTCCAAGCAACTGCTTGAACCTACGACGGGAAGAAGATAAAAAATCAAGCATGGTGGATCCTCTTTTCATCATGTATTCTAGATTGACAGAGAACACAGAAATCAGAAAAAGAAAAGAAGAACTATCGGTGTAATTACCTTTGCATCGTGATGTTCTAATGTTGTTACACATTTACCAGCTGCAACATCCCAAATTTTGACTGTTTTGTCTGCGCTAGCGCTGGCTAGAATATTCCTGACATTCAAAGTGACTTGTTAACAGGGTTTCAAATTTCGGAATGCCCCAAAATTTCGGAGGGGAGCAAAAGAACCGAAATTTCGGATTTTTTTCGTACGAAATATTTTGAAATTTTGACTGATTTTGAATGAATTTGAATAAAATTTGACCAAATTTACAAAAAATTGCAAAAAACCGAAAGTTTCGGACGAAATATGAGCATTTCGGTGGGGGGGGGGGGGCAAAATTTCCGAAATTTTTCGTTCCGAAATTTCAAACACTGCTTGTTAATCACCAGGCCGGATGGGAATAGATAATGTATTACTGAACCCATTCTTAATGGTTCTTTTGATAAATCAGAGATAAAACCCACGTATACTCCTTGTTCCAATCAATACCAATTAAGTACAGAGTCTCTGGCTTCCAGTCTTGTATCTTTTCATCTGCATGTGAAAAACGTAGTCGAGATACTACAACAGAAAATTGTTGTCTCCATTCTCATCTATGTATTCGAAACAATAGCAAAAGCACATAAATGAAACAAAAAGAAGATGGGATAGATTAGTTTGCTAGTTAACTGCACTCATTCACTACGAAGAATTATAACAGAAAAGGAGGCAAAGAAAGAGTGTAATTAGCACCACCACTACTCAATTCCATGTAGAGCAGTATTGGGAGTCTAGTAGCATTACCTTTTTGTGTTTCCCCACTGTGTTCTTCAAAATTCCTCCCAAAACATTATGAGGTTTGAACCCATTAACCTGTTTAATGTTGTTTTAAATATCATAAACTAAAAAGAAGCAATTCAGGGAACTAAATAAATAGTAGCGACGTGCGTCTCTAGGAAAAAAAAAACTATATCCATGTCCCATATTTCAATTTCTGGACGCATGGTACCAACAGCCATGAAATTTCTTGTCATTTATCCCAAAAAATTAGCAAAGTAAGAAACAAGAATAAGTCACAACATAGTGATCGATTGTTACCTTTCTGACCGTCCATAAGACCACAGTCCGACCATGGAACGCATAATGGGATGCCCAAAAGAACAATCTCATCATAAGGGTACAGATATGGATGTCCATCCTCCATTTCTTCAAGTATCGACACCTGCCACCAGATGAATCGACTTTAAATGAGTGCATATAGTTGCCAAGCGTGAGAAGAATTAACTTATGGTACGTTGGCACTTGGCACAAGGAAAACATGTAAATCAATTAGTAGTAGCATCATGTGTATTTACAGGTCTATCTAGTGTGAACTAGTTAGTATAATTCTTCTGGGGCATTTGCAAATTTGCCACTGTTTTTTTTCAATTTTGTAAGGATACCACTCAAATGACAGTTCTAGTGATGTTTTTATAATTTTCTAGCTGCGGCCTTGCAATAACGATTCAACTGAAAAATTTGCGATTGCCCCACTTCTTATTGGTAGCTGCTATACTCGCCTTTAGGTAATTGTTGTAATCCTTGCTGTGTGCAGTGACGATCATCGAATCAGTAGGTTTGACAGTCTTATCTTCAATCTCTCATCATCCTCGTCCTCATCCTAGTCATGTCAAAAAATTCCATCACTCTGTCACAACTTGAAGAAAAAAGCATGACATGCATGCAATTTTTTTTAAGGCAGTAAGAGTAAAATATGATCACCAGGCCATTGTTCTTGTTCTTAAGATAAGGATCCATGTCGTTACTTGGATAGTACAAGTCGCTTGACCCAGAGCAGAGATCCTTAATTACTAAATGAATTAGCAGAGCAGTATCATACAGCAGGTGACGAAAATTATGCAAAGGCCACTTGAAATCCAAATTGAATATTGTGCCCAGTTCGATTGAATTTTATTGATTCAATCGATCGGAAAATCCAGGAACGAGGACAGTGTCAGACTTGTATACCTCCATCCTCGTCGTCGTAATTCTCCATGTCAAGCTCGCGGAGGCCATCAGCAATGTAATCAACACTACAATCATCGCTCTGCAGAGCCACCTCGTCCTCCTCCTGAGCTCCGTCAATGTCGTCCATGCCATCATCGTCAGTATCAATTTCTTCACTGCAAATATCATATCAACCAACCAATCAATCGATCAACCATCAGTAGCTAGGAAAACAAACGAACTAAAACTACAGGAAAGAAAAATTAAGGCGGTCCTGACCGGCGGCGCCTCTCCGAAGCGGCGGCGGCGCCGATGGCCGCGTGGATCTCCTCTCGCGTGGGCGGCGCCGCGACGAGCGGGACGGTCTTGACCGCCCCCCGGGGGATCCAGCAGATGGCCGAGATCATCTCGCGATCTCCAACTGATGAGATGATCAGTTGGTTGGTTTCTAGCAGGAGCAGATGGTTTTCCACTTGGGTTCACGCAACAAATTGTAGCTGGTGGCGGGCTATCTAGTAGTCTGCGTCCGGAGATCGCGGTGGCGACGGGAGATCGGGGGAGTACGTCACGTCGGCGACGACGAGGAGTGGCGGTGGGCCGGCCTGCTCCAAGTTATGCGAGAATGTTGGTTGGTTCGTCTGGTTTTGGGATGGCCTCGCTAGGTCCATGACGATTGCACTTTGGGAGCAGTAACATAATGATGTGGGGGTTGCTAGTGGGCCGGTGATCGCTTCCCTGCCCACCCGTCCCTCCCCCTAATACTTGTCTTTCATCTCTTTTTTTGCTTTTCTATTACATCACAAATTTCAAAAATAAATTAGAAAAAAAATCTAATACTCTCATTCATTCATGTACATAGACTTTATACCGTAAACTTTGCACACATAAACTTTGTGTATAGAAATATTATATATATATAATATTTGAATCCAAATTCGAATTTGAATTGGGTATATAAACTTTTGACTTATAAACATTCGCTCTATAAACTTTAGGTGGATAAACTTTAGATGTGTAAACTTTAGGTGTATAAACTTACTAAAAGAGGAAAATATAAAATATTTGAATTCGAATTTCAATTTGAATCGGGTCTATAAACTTTTGCCTTATAAACATTCGCTTTATAAACTTTAGGTGGATAAACTTTAGATGTGTAAACTTTAGGTTTATAAATTTACTAAAAGAGGAAAAGAAAAAAGAAACAATTGCTGGCAGCGATCGATCGCCCGTTAGCCTTTCCGTAATAATGTTCTTTATCATCACTATCATGCTTATTTGTTTTTTTGTTTGGAAACACACTATCGTGCTTATTTATGTCTATGCATATGTCACATCCATTGGCACTCTGATGTGATAGCATTTCTTCTAAGCTATGGTTTTGGTTCTGACTTCTGATGGTATATATGACATTTCGAAGTCCCCCATTGATCAATCTCTCAAATTGGCTGTGTATGTGGTGTCTTCATGATCCTTTGGATCAAGCTATTGCAAGTGGATGTTCGATGCTTTCTCGGCGCAGATCCGTGCAGTGCTTAATGTTTTGAACGACCTATCAAGCCATCATGCAGTTCATGACGGGTTGCAATTTATGGTCTAAACTCATGATCCCAAGTAAGGCATTTTGTATAAAGTTTGAGAACTAATAATAATTCCAACAGCTAGATTCAAAGATGCTTACACAATGCTATACTTCTAAAAAATCTTGGGTCGTGATATATTTTGGGATCCTCTGAAATTAATGAAAATTTATAGCATTTTCATAAAGATTAGTTTAAATAACATAAAATTCTTGTGATGTTCCTCTGTTCCAAAGGTCCTTACTAGAGCAACTCTTTCAAAGCCATCTCGAAACAAAAGCGATCCATGGTGGTTATTGTAGCGTTGGATAGCTGTTTCGGAGCGTCAGATTTCACTTGGAGACCATAACCACTATGCTGGACTGTGCAGGAAGTTGTCCATGACGAATGTGTTTTCCTGGAGCCGCTCATTCCATCCAAATCCTCTAGCGAGCAAGAGCGGATGCCAAGTTCGCTGGCAGCCATGGCCATGCATGATCGACCATCAACCAAAACCAGTGTGACATTGTCATTTTGAGCAGGAAACGAAACTAATCGATTTTCTTAGACGAGCACCAAGAAGTATATATATGACTGTTGTTCTCACACCAAAGGAGCACAGTGAGGTAGCTTGTCAAAATCAGGGGGCGAGTGGAAGAACTGGACAGAAGGCATCAGGTGGCTACGTGTTTTTATGCACGGGTGCCCGGGTGAAATATGTCACTACAACTAATACTATGAATCAGAAGTACATATAATGCTGCACAATTCTTACTTGTGATTAAATAAATGTACCTTTCACGTGGTTTAGCCGCTTCTTATAGAAATGAGGGTTTCCAAGTCAGTAACTCCCTATCTTCACGTATCTTTATTAGAACAATTGGGCTAAGCCCGATTTATTCTATTAAATCTCAAAGGCCCATAATAATTAACTCAAAATTGTAATTGAATAGGTTTGAATTTATAGTTTTGTTATTTGTAGTAATATTAAAAATAGGTCTTAAATAAGAAATATCTGACTCATCCTGCAACTAAACAAAATGGTGAATGCAATGGCCATCGTTAATTCTCAGGTTTTCTGTTCATCATCCCAGCCGCTATTTCCTCCTCTCTATGTATTCAACCATAACACTCTTCGCGGCTGCTTGAGGCACTTCCCTCTCTTTCAATTCTATTTATCCACCACTTGTACGTGAATTGGTAGGAAATTTAACTATTTTTACATACTTCATAAATGTTTTAGAAGGAAGGCTAGTACTTCCTAATTAATCCTTCCAGATCCTCGTGAAACCTCCTAATCCATCCCATCTACTTACACAAACATCCTTTCACTGCATCGTTCATTTTATGGCTGAGATTCTACCTTCCTTGATTGCTCTTCCATCGGACGACCACAATAACTATGAGATGATCATTATCTTTTAAAAAAATAACTACGACATGATGTGGCTCATCCTAATGAAGTTTTGAGATTCACTTTTCACTTATAAAGATTGGCATGTATGAGCTACAATCAAGGGCAACATATTGTTTTGCTATTCTCACCGTTGTAAGTGTACTACTTGGCCTCACGTTGGATATAATGTCAAACAGTACCCACCGATCCTACACGATGTTGGTGGCATCTGAGCTCGACCTGCACTATTTGGCCTGGGTGCCGATCGGCACTTTCCATTCCGATAAAAAAAATGACCAAGGCCCTGACATGGTCACTTGTCATATATTTGAGTTCACTGAGGTCAAGGTGATATATTGAAAATTTCAACGAACAAAACAACCTTGGAGAAAATACAAGGAGCATTGGTTAGGTTACTGGACAGAGGGAAAATATGTAGTGCAAACCACATATGTAGTGGAAATTTTAAAACTACCGTTGGATCGAGATCTGGACGTTCGAGATTCGTCCACGTCACTATGAGTTAAAATTTAACTCCCAGTAAAATTTTAACTCATGAGTGAATCTGCGAGTTAAATTTTAACTCATGGTGACATGGACGAATCTCGAACGTCCATTTCTCGATCCAACGGTAATTTTCAAGTTTTCCATTATATATGTGGTTTGCACTAAATATTTTCCCTAGACAGAGAAAGCAAATCTGTTGCGTGGCTCCTACATATATTGCACGGTGAGTAAATGAGATAATTAAAGCTATATAAATCAGAACTACATTACAACGATCTCACGTCAGTCAATTACCATTCGATCGAGTTCTCTTGTTCATGGCCATCAGATATACGGTCTAAACACAAGTTGGGTTTCTACGACAAGAAAACCTTCGTAAAAACTTTCAACTTCTTCCAAGACCAGGGGCGTGCCTAAGTTATACTACCCGGTGTTACAGGACACCGGGTAGATTATTCAAATCCTATATAAATTACACTATATTAATTAATATATTAGTCAATAATTAGATAATTAGTATGTATTGGACCCCCGGTAACTTTTGTTCTGGGTTCGCCACTGGACCAATACGATGTTAGGAATTTCTTACCGTTTGAAGGTACTCAGTGCTTAATATGTTGTTGAATTCTATCAGTCTAAAAAAATCAAAACGAATGCCCGCGTGCACCCATTGTCACATCTTTCATTCTGTCTGGTTCCCGCATATCCTCTCGATCGTCAACAGCTCGCATGGTCACATAATGCCTCGTCGGTACTGGCAGCGGCAGTCGGCAGTACGGTTCAGTGTTCACTAGTCGTCGCACCGGCCGGAACACACACCGAATTCTTTAGTAACTGCAGCCTCCAAGAGTGGTGATGGCTCCATGGCTGTGTATGTATATAGCTTCCTCAGAATTTGTGGGTTGGTCTGTCATCCCAGAACGTTAGGTGTAACTGGCATAGGAGATAGCATATTGTATTGTTGTGAATGAACTTGATCCATGTATTTCCTGGCACAAACCAGTGATGAGGTCAAGTGTGTGCCCTTCCATGCATGTTTCAACCTAAAATGCAGCCACCCCAAACCAAGAGAGCACTTTCCTGGTGACTCCCATTCCCAAAGGTGTGGAGGGTGTATGCATTAAGCGTCTATGAACTTCACTTGTTGTGGAATGATATAGCATGTTCTATTTGTTGTAAAGGTGACAGTGGAAGGAGAGAACACAAGGGGCTCAAAGCATTTCTTTTACCGGGTATGAACTAATATATCAGCATAGAGTGGTACATGTTAGATCAGCCCAAGGCACAGAGCAGTAATGCTGCATAATGGCTCTGAGTTGTTGATCTATTGGTAGGTAGTATTTATTTTACACTAGCGTTGTATTATTAAATATAAATTTTAAGACGTCAATTTTTACACTGACGTTGTAGCATGATTGGAAGTTTTTTTTTTTTTGAGTGAATTGCACTTTAGGGCAGGTTTTATTACCCAAGTTGTAAATTGGACCAGCTATCAGCAGATCTTTTCACTTTTGACCGGGTTTTATTACCGAACTTTGCATTTTTAACTAGTGGCCCACACGTCAGCATCAAATAGTGTTATGTAAAATCAAATGTGTTTTTGATTATTATTCTGTGATGAACAATTGGGCATTGGAGATTATTGGTTTTGTTATTTGGAATTTATTCACGAAGTGGTTTTGGAGACGATTGGATTTACAGGTGAATCGCAGGTTCATTATTTCATGTGGACCGGTCAGACCGTGCCAGTGCGGTCGGTCAGACCGGCGTGTATCGCGCGGTCAGACTGGCGCAGCCCGCGGTCTGACCGGCCGACGCTGTGTCGGTTTCGGTTTCGGGTTGTTTGTTTGGATATCCGTAATTATTTTATGATTATGGCTTCTAGATGGATACTATATGTATGTAATACAGTTGTTTGCTACTAATGAGCCAAGTTGGAGATAGCTTGGTCTCGGAATATGGTTTCTTTGTTTATTTCATGTGTAGATGACTCGATCCCTTGGGAGAGTATTTGCGGTGATGGACCGGGAGTCGGCTTGGGGATAAGACGACGTCCGTGGTGGTCAGAGATTATGCGGGATACTTAGGTTAGAGTTGATGCACGTGGTTGATGGAGACTCCATATGGCATACGATGGAGGTATTGTGTGCGTATGGGATGCGGAGTCGAATTTGGAAGGAGTCCAAATTTGGTACGATTGGTTATGTAAAGTTTCTTTCTTGTACTAGAGGGTTTCCTAAGGTGTTTAGGACTCTTAGTATGAGTTTG